ATATTTATTATGTACGTAAAATCATAATTTTACGCTAACTCAATAGAAATTGCGAGCTTGTTAGGCCATTTGACTGCGACTCCATACAATAACAACACTGAAGCGGTTATAGCGCTATTGTCATAATAGAACCGATCTACATGGCTGAGCTAATAGGTAATGGCAGTAAACAATGAATGCAATATAAATCGATGCAATCAATTAATACATAGTATTGTTGAATACCTTCCAAGTTATACCTAATGAGACCCGAGCGTACGGCGCGTCGCATTACGTGCGCTAAGGAGCCTTCAGACCAACACAGATGGAGCCCAGCTGGGCTGATGCCCGATACGAAGGCGCAAAGTACTTAACGGGTTGCTTGGGCTTCGATTGGAAGAGCAGGACTAGGCAAGGTGGTTTTTAGTCATTAAGAGTTCAGTAACAGTCTGACACTCCCTCTCGCCATATCCAAGGCTGGAGAAGACATTGGATGACATTCCCCTCTTTAAAAAAAGTTGTACCTATTGAGTGTTAGTAATACATGGTGTTGGGGAAATCCTACAGCTGTCCTTTGGTTTGAGTACAGAACCCTTAAGGATACGGTAAGAGAGGGATGATGATGCTGATGATGAAGAGAGGGCCCGGTGCCCCTTATGGTGATGGTATGTATTGGGATATTTTAGTGAGGTAAAAATCCTTCACTCATGGCCACTCAGTGCCGTGGAAAAAAGCGTTACCATATAATATCCATGTAGCTCTACCCACATCACGTAGTTATCCTATAGAGTCAATATAAAAAAGGAAAATATACATAGATCTTATAAAGAAAACATTTAAATTAAATAACAAACAGACTTTCACTTGCAAACACATTACTATATAGTCAGTTACTACAAAAACTATTTTTATTTTATGTTTCTGAAAAGCGCCACACGAAAGCTGTTACGCGGGACCTTGCTCTATAGTCTATTGTTTGTTTGTGAATACGAAATCGAAAGTTAAGAGAAATGAAAATCGGAACGGTGGCTGCTGTTCCATGTAACGTTTATAGATTTTATTCCTTACTCTTGTAATGAATAAAATAGTCGACGTCGCCTGGCTACTAAATATAAGGCAACAATAAATGTTGTACGTAATTAATTTTCTAACTACTTACATCGCATTGGTTATCAACGCTTACAAATATAGGTAACCATCACACTCAGAACAACACGTATTTTGTTAACAACACAAAATTGGGTATATACATCGGTATCGGTATCGGAACATCGGTTCCGAGTACGGATCGAATATGCAACAAGTCACGAAGCGACCACGCAGTAAAAGCTTCGCAGTTTTTATTGATAACGGGGCGGGAGAATGTAGTACATAATATGGTTGCGAATCATGTTTTCCACGTAATTAATGCTTTTGATACAAGAATATGTGGAAAATACCATCAAACAAGATCTCTCAGTATACTCGATTATTATTTTCCGAAAACATATAGGTGAACGTTTAAAGCGGTTTTCGAGTGTTTAATAGGAAATGCAGTTCTGCAAAAATATGAATAAATTTCTACGTCGCGTATTGCTATATTTATTATCGTACAGCAATTTTCAGAACAGTTACTCGTGTAGGTACTTTAAAATAATTATTTTTCTCTTAAATTGATATGTCGTTTTGCCGGAAAAAGACTTTAATGATATATGCTTGTGATTTAAGGAGGCATTTATTAAATTGTTCTTTTTCATATTGTGTAAAGATTCAGCCAAATATTTATTTAAAAAAATAGATAGAATGTCTAAGAATATTTTGTGTACCCAATTCAAACACGTGTGATTGTTGAACAAAGGCTTTCAGAGGCAGCAGAAGGAGTTATGACCACTATGTTGTCACCCATCCCCTACACTTCGCCGAGTATTTAGTGATTGTATTTAGAGCAGGGAAAGTTTAAAGAAAAGAAAAGAAAATATTTCGTTGATTAATAGCATTTTTATAAAGAATAAGTCCAGAATTTTTTAAAATAAGTCATTTATGTTAATCTGTCGTACTCGGCCCGTAGACATCTTTGTTAATTAACAATTGCAAGTGTATCCCTTGCGTGCGGTGGTATTCCCGTGTTGTTAAAGACATAGTCACACAGATCCCATGATATGCCCGGATTCAGTGTGACCGACACAGAAACTCGTCACTTCTGGATAGACACAGAAACCGGATTTGTAGCTCGGGGCTGCTTACATTTGTAGCCTTTACCAGTCCGTTAGTCCTCATGTGTCTACAACAGGACAGCTTTACGAGTCACAGTCACTAGCCGAAACGTCCTCTCTGCGGTACTTTCTACTATTGTACTATGTTCACAATCCCCCATACTGCTTAAAACCTTTTAGATATTTTTTGTGGGGTATCATGTTATTTTCTGTAAATACATAACAAAACGCAACAACTGGTCGCGATAGAATATAAACTGCAGAATGTCCTGCCGGAAGATAATTATGAAGAATGTAACATAATATGGGTCTTTTCATTGAAATACAGGAAAGCACGTACTGATAATATCTTATGATGTTCAGACGTTGCGAGTCCTATTTATCAAAGAATTTCATAAAAATCCTCTTCGCTTGGACTCGGGAAACGAACCTATCCAACCAACATGATGTGAAATTCTCATATCATGTAAATTGCAAGAGCTATAAGGGAAATATACCCTACCGCGACACCATGGCTACGCAACTGATCGCCGCTATTAACAAAATGTACCTATGCAGCTCTATAGAGTTAAGTATTCATCTGGTGTGCACAAGGTTTTGTAACAAATCCGATGGACCGATCGGTTCGGACGGCAGCGTTAGAGATCTATTTTAATACTGTCGCAGTGTGATGCACACACTAACTAGACACTAAACTTCACAACCTCTGGTGCCTAGTTTGCTGGCTTATAAACACCATGGTAGCGCCACTGGTTGCGCCACCATGGTCCTGGTCAAGGTAGTGTGCCGGTGAAATTTAGCCCTTACGCTAAGCAGTAAGCAGCTTATAAGAAGCTTTTGTAGGTAAAGTTCTAGTGATACTAGAACTTACTAGTACATTAGGTCACTTTATTTCGGCGAATTGACTTACTTTCATGTTTAAACATTTCAAACGGTTGGCTTTGACCCAATTCTCTGCGAACTAGGTTTCACAGGTTGACTTTCGTATATACATCATCAAAACTCTTCTAAACCAAATATTGTTTCGTACCTCATATTTTAGATTGCAAGTTAATATGTTTAAAAGTAAATATTTGACGTCGAGATTCGACCGCATTTCTATATAGAGGTAATTCATACTTTAGATAAATCTTGCCTCACACTAGGATTGAGTGAATGCGTTTACAAACAGACAAGAGACCCGAAACAACAATTACGGGACCACATAAAGAGTTGCTCTGTGCGGAGATCGAACCCGCAACACGTTGCGCGGCAGTCAGTTGTCCAGCCACCTCGCAATAATTCATGAATTTTGTGACACGATCGACAAATAAAATAATGATTGTCTTGACAATAGAAATGGTTTGTTACTACGAGTGTCAATTAGTCATATCTGTTTGGCTATCATCAGGAGATCTGTCGACTTGTTGGTCTCCATATCCCATCTACCAGAATGGTAGCTAAAAACCCAATATCACATCAGGTGACCCGGGAATCGAACCCGAGAGCCGTTACTGGGCGACTATTCGACCAATGCGCAACAGTTTATTGTTTGGTGGTGGTGTATATTGTAGTCGCACGTTGTGAAACTTAAGCAAATTACCCACAAGACTCAATGCAGATCCTAACTTGCTTAGGAAGACGCCATCAAATCTTATTCGTCACATATCGTTTGTATTCGTCGATCATCACATTATTTGTCTAAAACTATCCTATTATACTACTCTATTAGGTATGTATGTACATTAAAGACGTAGCTTTCTGCGACCGCGTAATTTTCACGACAAGGAGTTCAATTTTTTTTTCTGAAATACCTACCACATTACAAATATAACGTTAATACAAAGAAATATATCAATGTATGAGTTTTTGTGAAACTCCAAGTAAACAGAAAGTATAGGCCATGACAAAAAACAACACATAAAAAGTTCTGTAAGGTAGCAAAAGTGTCATATTCACTCGAAATAAATAGAAGAAACCGCGCTTGTCAATTAGTTCAGTGCTTATTGTGGAAATATTCGAGGTTCTTTGTTATAAAAGGAAAGGTTTAAGGAAAAAATAATATTGATAAAATAATGATCACAATACTCATCTCCCGGTCTTCTGACAATACAGACAAAATAACCCATATTATAACAAGCTGACAACTACAGGCTGTGTTTGAATTTGATATTTGTTTCACAAATTCCAAAATGAATTTTCAGGTTGCATTTTTTGGACACAATGCCTGGGAGCGTGGCAATGGACGCGTATTAATTCCATAATTATTATCTCTTATTTCTATTTTCAGCATCAAAACACACTGAGAAGAATTTTTTGAAACAGTAATGTACACAATTGACGTGATTTCACAAAGCCCGCGTGCTTTACAATTTTAACTTCAGAGACTCCAACCTATTTCACAAAAAACCAAAATTGATACATCTAATTTGCAAGATAACGCACGACTGACTTGTGGAATATCCTTGGATCGAACCTAAAATTTGGATGAATCCATTACTACACACGTTTGATTACTTTATTCAGCCGCGAAGTGTGTTCATTGGCACGTTTAAGAGGAGATATCGCTTCTTAATATACCTGCCTATTGTTTCTTTTCCTGTGTATAATAATTTTATAAATACTTTGCCGTGTCCCATTGTGTCCGGTCTTAACTGGGCCAAAGAAATGGAACCCATAAAAACATTTGCAAGGTTTTTTTTTGGAAAGCGATTTGAGGGTGTAATTTGGGAAAAAGCACAAGAAAGGTAACCACATCGAGGGTGAGGTGTGGCGCGGGGGAAGCGGCGGCAGCGGCGGCGCTCACTGCTCGGCTCACTGTCGCACAGAACGGCTTCGTGGCAACTCGTCCCAAGCCGTACTTCGACTCCGCGAACAGGCGCGCTCGTCGCGCCATGTAGTTTTTCCCCAACAGTTAAAGAACAAGCCTCAAACTGTTTTCAACTCTCACAAAAGTTGTTAAAAAATACTCCGGTGTCGGAACTGACCCCCCACCCGCACAGAGTTCGGGTAAGTACTTTCTAATTTTTGGATATACGCGCGCCATTTTATTTCAGGACCGCCGTTACCTTACGCTGCAAAGTTCGATGCGCCCTAAACGTCCGTTTCACACCTCGTGATTCCGTGAGACCGCGGTGCTCCAGGTGTACACATTTTTAAAAATATATTTTTTCTACCTAAACTTGACGGTGCCTGAGAAGGAGGAGATGACGGCGGTGTGACATCTTATTTAATTGTTTAATTCAACATCCTTGTGGCTTTTTAAATAGGCCTTTAATTCCTAAAACACTGGTATTTTTTAAAATACTACGGTGAATTTTATTAAATTTCGAATTTGCATAAAAATATTTAAAACGTAAAAACACAAAGTGATAATTAGGTAACAAAAAATAAAGTACAGTGTAACGTGTACCGTATTTAAAAATAAAGGGTTAAAAATGAGCTCCTTCCTAATTATTTAGATCGTATCTTTGCTGATAACTCTAACTGCCAGCTTATTTCGAGCGTACAAGTTTCAACAACGTTAGTTTCAGCTTACAAAATGCATCCGCCGCAAATTGTTTAAGCTTCATTTCACACAGAGCTGGAAAAGGCTTATCTGTTACAACAATGTTTTAAATACGAGCGTTTTATTTCATTCGTAATATTTTTTTAAAGCTAATATAAAACAATTTTCACACAGTTAAATGTTCAATTAGAAGAATTTAATATTTCTATCAATCGGTCAGTAAGTTGAGACTAAAATTTCGGTTACTCGAATTGACCACTAAGTGAAACTAAATAATGTCGTTTCAAAATATTCATGGCTTCTTTTCAGACGACAGTGCAAAAATGCAGTAGAGATACATAACAATTTTTTGTTCTGCTGTAGGATTACGTAGGTGAAACGATAAAGCGAAAAATAAAAAAGTTTACTTTATCGTCTTACAATTTGAACAATAATAAGGAAAATAATTTGGTACAATAATTTGGATTTTACCAATTTAGCTGCGCTACTTCAGGCCGTTTTTACCAACTTCTCGTTTTTAACCACGATTGCGATTTTTACCGACCTTTAAGCGACACCTAATAATACATGAAGGGGTAGTTTAGGTACTTCTTTACGCTAAGTAACTCGTAGTTAAGAGGTAGTTTAGGAGAGATTAGAAAAAAACGGCCATTAGAATCCTAACAGGCTAGGATCGATGAAGATAAACGGTACGACTGCCACTTTGGCGAGTCATAAAATTTTGCTGCTTTTACTGTTTCGGACTATATTTACTGAAAATTGGTTTAAATTGTTTAAAGACTGACTTTAATAAAGCGATTCATACGTAAATTTTATAGTCTGGGTCTATGATCAATTATAGTACAGTGGTAGCTAATTTGGATTTATAGTCGGCTCAGCGGTGCACATAGTCGCTTTGCGGGAGCGCTCAGGTCAGGGGATCGATTCGTAAAGGCGTTCGGAGCTCCATGGCTACCCTCGTTACCGTTCCTTTCAATTATCTTTTCAAACATTTTTTTAATACACTATCAGGTTTTATCTCGTCTTTCATAATGGGTAAACAAGTCAAAGCACTGAGTCACGGCAAATACAAATATTTCATTTATGCTTCGGATAAATAAGCGGAGAGCATACTAGGATTTTTTAATAAATTATTTTTTATAGTTATCTTTCTCCTTAGGAAAAAAAGATAGGGAAAATACAATCCAAAAATACCTTAAAAACAATTACTTTTGCATCAAGAAGTTCTTCCTTCCGAAAAAAGATAAGACGTTCCGCTAAAGAATAAGAAAACGCAATACATTTATGGACACCTGCTGTGAATTAGGCTCTAAATTTGATTTCTGAGTTGTCACATCAAATTCGCTACGAGGGGTAGAAATTTTTCACGATCAATGTTCGTAAGGGTCGTTTCCTCTCTCGTGGGATTATAAAACCGGCGTAGGAAATATATACGCATCTGTTCCATAGCCGCGATTCAACAAGTTGAACGTAATTAAATGAACGTCTGATTTGAAATTGTAATATAAAAACGTCAAGCCTTCTACTGAATTTAAAGTACTGGGAAGGATTTATTGTATTGTAATTTTATGTATATTAAATATGGTTTTATGGTGTCATAATTACCAGTAGTCTTCTAATTCTAATAATATGTCTGATAGACAAATAAATTCTAATTTTAAGCACTAGCATACAGAGTCTGAGATCGTGTTGCGGAATATCATGCAAGAGACTTTATTACAATTTTGGGGCAAAAAATAAAATGAAGAATATAAGTAAACTAATTGAGTACTTCACATTAAAAGAAAAAAAGATTAATAAAAAGGATTTCCAATGTACAAATTATACATCACTTAAACGTGTGGGAGAGCCATGCTTCGGCACGAATGGGCCGGCTCGACCGAAGTGATACCACGGTCTCACAGAAAACCGACGTGAAGCAACGCTTGCGTTGTGTTTCGTCGTATGAGTGAGGTTACCGGAGGCCCAGTCCCCAACAATCCTCAAACTCCTAATCCCCAAAAGGCCGGTAACGCACTTGTAACGCTTCTGGTGATCCAGGTGAAAAAAAAAAATGATTTCAGAAATACATTTGTAAAATCACGCATTGGGCGCAACAGCGACATTTAAACATATTTGCAAGTCGATTTTCAATCATTATAATTGGATCCGGAAGGTACAGTCCGCAGACAATGCCTATGAATATTTACAATTCCTTTGCTGAATTGTTTCCTAATAAAATTAATATATTTTTAATTGTACATGCATGAATATAATTTTTTTAGTTACTAGGTACGTATATTTTGAGTTGATGTTTCTGCACACCGTACCCGTTTATCCTGATGACGTAACCGCTGCATCGGGGGAGTACTTATTCATTGAAATTGATTTCATAGGTTTAAACTAGTGGAGTTCAGGGTATGACGGTGATGCAGATTGGTGATTTAGGGAACTCTTTGATTAAGTATCGGTTCCCTATCGAGTTTGGGCTCTTTCGGATCGTCTTGATGATTTCTTTCGTAGCTTGTAATAAATTTGAAGATTTTACTAATTATTTTTTCGATTTCAATTTCTTTAATAATTACCGTAAGTCTGGTAATGCTACAAAATATATACGAACGGTGGAGTATTAGCATATATTCAAATTAATTTTGTGGAATTAATAATAATGCAGGAGAAATAAATTGATGAAATTATACACTGGCTTTGAAAAATGATAAATGAAGGGTAACTTCTCAATGCTGCGGCTTAAATCTGGGATCCCAAGCTAAGCAATCGTGCTTGTGGTTAATGTATGTAGAGGATAAAGTGGTTAGTAATCCCCAGGTGTGACAAACGGTTTGGGGATTATAGTTATTTTACCAAGTGGACACTGTTGCTTGTTCTCACAATTTTAGTAATCTTTGGTTTTAATTGTAATTATAAAACGAATTACTCTTACAATGATGCTAAATTATTAAAATCGGATTAAAGGGAAAGTGGCAGATTCTTCATTGGCCATGTGGTCGCATTTGCATCAATCACCCGGGAAAATATTAAAAAATATATAATTTTATCATTAAGAAAACAGCATTTTGGAAAAAATCACATTGCTACTCAAACCCTAGTCCAGGTTTCGAACACAAACTCTCATGCTCGAGGAGCGGGCGCCTTTATCTACGTATAACATGACACACCCTTTTAACCTCCGGGCCACCACGATGCACCATATAGTTATTCTAATAGATAGTCAAAACGGAACAACTTGTCTTTGACAGATTCAATTAACGGGTCTATAAACAATGTATTAACTACGCCATTAATAATATCTAAGTATGAGAAAGCCATGCTTTGGCACGAGGGGGACGGTTTTACCGGAGTGATACCACGGTACAACCTCACAGAAAATGCATGAAACAATGCATGGGTTACGTTTCGCTGCGTGGCTGAGGTTATCGGAGACCTAAATTCTCCCCTCTTCAATCCCTAAATTCTCAATCCTAGAATTCCTAACCCTTAAAAGGCCAACAACGCACTCCTTTGGTGTTACAAGTGCGTAACGTCTGTGGGCGGCGGCGATTGCTTACCTTATGCTGCACTGTTGACTTACCATCAGGTGATTCATCTGCTAATTCGCCACCATTTCCAATAAAAAAAAACTTGTACAATAATTAACCCACAAAAACTTTAGACTTCCTTTTTCTAGTCTCGAAGAAGTCGCAGTATCCTTATTATAGACGCTCGCAGTTAACCTTATAAAGAAAGATAGAACCTTCTTTCTTTATCATTCATTCATTACGAGGAACATATAGGAACCCTAAAAATGTGACATTCATTACGGAAAACACAAAAAAACGAACTATAAAAAGTTAGAATAAAGTCCTTACATGCATAATTATTAAATAGGTAACCAGCTACGATCTTAGAATCGTGGTGGCCCAGAGGTTTAAGACGCCCGCTTCTCATGTATGAGGGTGCGGGTTCGAAATCAGCTGTGGCCACTTATACGTTGTTGATGAAACAGATAGGTCAGGTTGTCCCAACTGCCCAGCTAGGCGCAATCATCAGCTTAAATTAACTGTTCATTGGAAAATACAATACATATATCAGTTAGCATACATAAACATCACATCACGCCTCTTATCCCCGAAGTGGTAGGCAGAGGTGTACATTACGGCACTTAATGCCATTTATGTTATGTGGTCCATGTAATAGGGGTGAGCTTATTGCCATATACCGCGCACAATTCCAGACTCCGTGCTAATACTGAGATTTTTTGAAAATGCCCAGTAATACTTTGCCCGACCCTAAAATCGAACCCGAGACCCCTTGCCCGGCAGTCGCAATTGCGACCACTCGGCCAACGAGGCAGTCAGTTAGCACTTAGCAAACATATCGCAACAGTCTGTCTGTTTGCTGTTGGCTACAAACTCCTTTCGGCTCCAAGTAGATAACTATTTAGAGAAAATAGGTGGGAAAAAGTCCAAATGAAAGTAAATTTAAAAAAGTTCATTTAAATTATCTTCTTTAAATATTAAATTCA